GGACTGATCAGACTTCTTAGATAACTAAATTTACAGACGCGTTCGACTACTTCACTCTCTATCCTTAGTTCAGATGTTGACGAACGCCGGTCCTGAAGCAACAACTTGCATTTAAATGGAAGGAAGCGCATCTCAATCATCTTGGTATTTTTGTTCAGTATTACCGCCCCCAAATGCTCTGGTACGGCAGAGAGTGGGGAGAGTCACCTCTCCCTCTCGAAATGCTCTCATATGGCCAGCGAATATATAGCCTCTCCCAGGGAAGTCCTACTCACTGCCTTCTCGTTGCGGGGGTGTTGTTTACGAAAGTGAGAGAACGAAAAGCGAATGTCGGGCGCTTTAACCGGGTTGGTGGACATGGAAAGTTCACCTAGGGGAGTTGGAAAACCCTGATTCCAAACCAATGGTGCACATGGGCTCCAGTATCCTGAGGGAACAAATGGCGTACGAATCAACCGTTAATCACCGGCTAACATGGGACTGCATCTTCTCACGATGCTCCACTGCCTTGTGGACTAGGCCTTCATGTCAAAGGCTCCGGGTGTGGGCCACTAAGAAAACCACCTGCTTCAGTCTGGGCACCTGGGCAGTATCACAGCCCTCACACAAATCGAATGAGATTTGTGAGGCGCATATTTATCTGATGCTTCCTTGTACCAATATTTATGTGTTTAAATAAATAAATAAGTAAATCAGTATTACCAAAAGTCTTTGTATTTTATCAGCGTCTTCACCAAACAGGATTATGTCATCTGTGTATTCTAAATTGATAAGTGGACCTCCTGGAAGATCAATTCCTGAAAATTCAATCGACGAGAACGTTGTTTCCAGCCGTAGGTCTATGATGAAATTGGACAAAAATGGAGTAACTTAAAAGTTCAGTAGTATAATTATTTTGCATCTAGTGCAAGATTTCTACATGCGTTCAGATGTATTGAATTTTAAGTGGGCACTGTGATGTGGGTTATGATACTGATAGGATTTACGTAGTATGTCTTTTCCAATAAAATCTGCCATGGGACGGTTTTTGTACTTTATTAACATTTGCCATGTTGTCAATGTTACCTTGATTACTTAAAAATGTACGTCAATACTTTTATTCAAGTAATAAAAAGGTATAATAAATTATTGTTACGTAATACACAAATGGTCGACAATAACTGGACAAGAGGTAAGGCAAAGAAAAACTAAAACGGCTATTGCGCCCCCGTAGTTGCGTCATTTTTAATGAAGTGTCTCTAGCAAGACGAATTGGGCTCACCAACTAAGTGAATGGAAGGAGCAACCAAGAAACATCACGAATGATACTGAGTCATTAAACTTTAGCGTATGAAAAAACAATACTTTTCCTTATGACGGTTAAGCAAGAACTTTCCGAGTTCATTAAGTAACAAACATTCAGGGTAGTTCTTAAGATGAGCATGGATTTATGACTGGTCAATATAAGCACGAAATTATAATTTTAAAAAAACAGTACAGAAGAGACCAAAAAGTCATAACCGGTTTCACATGAATTTGATATAAGGAAGAAAAACGGAAGGCTGAATACAGTACTCATTAAAAGCTGTTTCCCAATACCAAAGGACAACGAGATTTGAGAACTAAAGACAAGAAAACTGATCTTGTGTTACTATTACTGACTCAATATCACTATTAATTTTCGGAACACATGATTATTTGAGTTAGCACTCATCCCACTTCAATGTTTCATATTCAATCCTTACGACTATACTCTATATAGAATTCCACTAAACACTGAATAGCACCAGTAACAGCATTCCTACTTCTAACCCAATCTAACACATATACCGATTGTTAACCTCATAATTTCATCCAATGTATAAGCTCATACAAATCGACATTGTATGTTATTCATTTCGACATAATTTCATGTTATTTTACAAAAACTCGTAAATGTACATGTCATAATTTAAAACTGTGTATTGGTCTTAAACGCAACCACTTTTGGGGTCATTAGTATAGATTTAGAACCGTAGAACCTTAAGAGGATTTACTGGAGAAAAATACGGAATGATGAACACATATACTAAATGTATATCATTGATTAAATAAACGATATTCCATGCATATCACTGTCCTTCCTCAAATTCTAGGACTATTTTTCATCAAAAGTGTTGCACATCACCAGAATTCTTTTCCATCTCTGTACATTTAATTACCATTCTTAAACCTTGCCTGAATATACAAAGGTGTTCCCATAGATTTCGTAACACTAAAGTGGAGTGGTGATAAATTTTGATATTTGGATGCCTAAGGCATCCGACCTCTTAGAAGCAAAGTGACAGCCATTCTGGATTACTCAGAACCAACAACCATCAAGCAATTACACACATTTAACAGTTTTGTTAGTTTCTATAGATGGTTCATATCAAAATGTGCGTCATTTATTATTATTCACAAACATCTTATGGGTACATAAGTGCTGTGAAGAAACCATTTCGAGTTTCTTCAAAAATGCAATAATGCACAATATTCAATAATTTTGAATAAATTGAGCATTGGGTAGATTGTTTTAAATAAATTATATATTTGTAATATCCCAATGAGTAGAAAAATTAGATTTTCGTGACTCAGTGTAAGCCACTTCTTCAGAGAATAAATAACCAAATTAACATTAATCCAAGTTTAAATAGTACAACGGAACAATCAAAGAATATTAGGTGATCAATCAAAAACAGGTCTGAATAAATCACTGTCACGTCATTTCATTTCGGTCAAGGTGATTCATAAGCGACATGGATGTAATTTTTGTGTGTGTGTATGTATGCACTGTTAATAATGAAAACTGTGTGACCTTTATAATTACAAAGGATAGAGTTTGATTTGTAATGTAATGGTGTGAAATTGTAAATAATATCAGACTGAGCGACTAGGATAGATGGTCCAAGTAGGCTGTATGGTAAGGCCTTCCTTTCTATTGAGAGCTGTGGGATTAAGCATTATACGGAAAGCTTCAGCTACTCTTCTTTCTTTGTAGTTGGAAAAACCTTTCTGTAGTATTTTGATATTTTTTTCGAAATCAATTTGATGACTGTTGAAAATGGCGTGAACTGCTATTGCCGATTTAATCTGAAGTCTACTTAATTCTACAGGATTATTAGGAGGTTTCTTTGTGTACCTAATATGTTCTTTGGCGCGAGTTAAGATTTTGCGAGATGATTAAAAGAAAAAATCCCTTTCATGTCTACACAGAACTGCGTCTACAAATTAGGTTGTGTCAATTGTGATGCCTTCTATATTGGAGAGTCATCTCGCGAAATCATGACTCGCGCCAAAGAACATATTAGGTACACAAAGAAACCTCCTAATAATCCTGTAGAATTAAGTAGACTTCAGATTAAATCTGCAATAGTAGTTCACGCCATTTTCAACGAGTCCCAAATAGGATGAAACGCGCGTCCTGGATTCCACTGCTAGTCACTATCCATCTCTGATAATCAATATGTATGAGGTGTATATACATAGTGAAGATAAAACGAGTCCGATAAGTTGAATTCAGCATAACACCAATTATTGTCTTAATCCGAAGCTTCGTAATCTTAAGAATAATATTTATTTAGAAGGGAAAAAAAGAGATAAGGAATGAACACAGTGAAAGCGTACAACCATGATCATAATAGTGTAATGGATATAGACTTTTGAGATAAACTAATAATTTAAAAATAATAATAACAACAATAGTAACAATAATAATAAATTTTGATAATGCAATGAGAAGACGAAGTTTATCAGAATTATGTGATATATTAGCGCAATACATTTCGAACAATCTGGCTATACGGAAATTGAAACCCCCTTTATGTGTTCAAAAACAATTTGTTCTTACCCTTAACCTACCTTGGTAATGCTTATTTAGTATCCAGAGTAGTCATCACATTGTTTTTGTGTACTTTATTTATTAACCTGTCTAGTTGAGAAAATTTAGCAAGTTGTCGATGAACGTGCGTGCTATTACGTGCTTTTGACCAAAGGTTTCTTCTAAAAGCTTTAGGGCTTGACGATAGCCTATCTCTGGTTCTAGTATAGCACAATGAAGAATGGCGGCTTTCGCTTCGCCGTCACAATATTGAATCCAGTAATTTAGTTTAGCTCTAAATCGAATATTCTCGCATCCGATGCATTCCTCGAAATTTCTAATAAAATTCCAGTAATTTATTGGTGTACCATCGAATCTTAAGATTTCCGTTTTTGGTAAATACAGATTTTTTAATGACATCCTCGCTGTTGTTTATTGATCGACCGAAACCCTCACTTCCCTGGCGACGTAACTTTTGTAGCTCAATTTCTTTTTCTAACTGAGTAATACGTAGTCTAGCTAACTCTAATTCTGTCATGCTATTAGTTTCGGGTTTGTCCTTTTCAAGTTGGTCCTCATCATAAACTCCCAGACGATGGGGTGATAACTCTGGAATATCATCGGGATCGTAGTATTTATTAGAAGCCATTCAGTAAGTATATCGAAGTTTACTGTTCGAAACTTTGTAGGAAGCAATTTCCTACAGGGGTAACTTTAAGCTATTCTCTAAACTGTCGAATACAGAGTCTTGGTTTCGCCAAAGTCAGAACAAGTAAGCTATTTGGCTTAATAAACTTTATCTGTTTCTAAAACGTAAATTAACAACATTAGTATGCGAATAAACAGTAGTCTATTACATAGTGAAAGGGAGAAATATAAATGACATACCGAACAGTAACTGGAGAATAGGAAAAATGAGTCAAAAGGGAGAATATTGTTTCAGAATGAACATAAAATTGTGATTGGTGGGTAAAACAAAGACAGTCATACAAGGTCAAAGAATTTAGTGTGGTGGTGAGCGTTTCATCTATCTTTGGTGTGTTCACTTATCGATCACACTTTACACAGGTGTCTAAATCTTACGCTTCTATTTCGGTTTCTGTTGACTCTATTGTTAGGTCTGTGTACGTCCCATGTTCTTGTTGAGTATTTAACTCGCTTTTTCTCCCGTTATTTCTTCCAGATTTCGCGCACACTGCTCTTCATCGTCCCAGCACAAAGGGTACCTATACACAATCTTACCAAAGTCTGCTTGTTAACGTTCATCAGTGTATATGTCTGAAATATCAGGTTTTGCAAATGGAGGCCGCAAAATCTCTCACATATGCCGCCGAAAACACTATCTGCCCAACACTATTGTTGCGAAGTCACTCAAATCCAACCCCTAGTGTATGTGAATGCGGGTCATGCTTTCATGAAGAAATCCCTGTTAATGTGTTACCTAATAAATTCTTCACTGCTAAACCTGGAAAACTAGTATCTGCCATCAATACGTTAGTCGAAAATATCTGTAAACAAATAGTTGGCTCCAACAACCCTATCCACTATACTTTTAACAAAATGAGTAAGATGACGTGCAGTTCAGTTGAAGACAAGCAGTATTGGTGGAATAACATATTGGTAAGTTGTTTGTTGGTAAATTTTAGTGGTCCAACCTTTGTTTCCCGTGTATTTTGATGGGTCAATGTGTTCGTTCAACTCTGCTCAGAGGTTTATGAGTGTATTCTTTAGCTATTAAAATGTTGGCTTCCAAAATGCCCTGCTACTGCCGAGAGTGGGGAGAGTCTGCTCTCCCTCTCGAAATGCTCTCACATGGCCACGCATATACAGCCTCTGCCAGGGAAGTCCTACTAATTGCCTTCTCGTGGCGAGGGTGTTGCTCACGAAAGTGAGTGGACGAAAAGCGAATGTCCGGCGCTTTAACCTGGTAAGTGGACATGGAAAGTCCACCTAGGGGAGTTGAGAAACCCTGATTCCAAACCAATGGTGCTCATGGGCTCCAGTATCCTGATGGAACGAATGGCGGAAGAACCTGTCATTGGTCAACGTCTACCATGGGACTGCATCTCCTCACGTTGCTCCACTGCCTTGTGGATCAGGCATTCAGGTCAAAGGCTCCGGATGTGGCCCTGTGTGAAAACCACCTGCTTCAGTCTGGGCACCTGGGCAGTATCACAGCCCTCAGACAAATCGAATGAGATTTATGAGGCGCATATGTATCTGGTGCCACTTTGTACCAATATTTATGTGTATAAAGAAATAAATAATAGATAGCGACGGGAAGTTATTGCTGGTGAGTATGGTTACGTTAAGACGATAAGGTGTGTTGGTTTACCCTCCTGCGATTGAAACCTTAACTCGTATCTCCCTCCGGCCAACGAAATGGGTCGTTTTTGATAACCACATGAGTTTATTCGGTCACCCCCACGTCTTAAACACTATTTGGCTCCAAATATCAAAATTTATCACCACTCCACTTTAGTGTTACAAAATCTATGGGAACACCTTTGTATATTCAGGCAAGGTTTAAGAATGGTAATTAAATGTACAGAGATGGAAAAGAATTCTGGTGATGTGCAACACTTTTGATGAAAAATAGTCCTAGAATTTGAGGAAGGACAGTGATATGCATGGAATATCGTTTATTTAATCAATGATATACATTTAGTATATGTGTTCATCATTCCGTATTTTTCTCCAGTAAATCCTCTTAAGGTTCTACGGTTCTAAATCTATACTAATGACCCCAAAAGTGGTTGCGTTTAAGACCAATACACAGTTTTAAATTATGACATGTACATTTACGAGTTTTTGTAAAATAACATGAAATTATGTCGAAATGAATAACATACAATGTCGATTTGTATGAGCTTATACATTGGATGAAATTATGAGGTTAACAATCGGTATATGTGTTAGATTGGGTTAGAAGTAGGAATGCTGTTACTGGTGCTATTCAGTGTTTAGTGGAATTCTATATAGAGTATAGTCGTAAGGATTGAATATGAAACATTGAAGTGGGATGAGTGCTAACTCAAATAATCATGTGTTCCGAAAATTAATAGTGATATTGAGTCAGTAATAGTAACACAAGATCAGTTTTCTTGTCTTTAGTTCTCAAATCTCGTTGTCCTTTGGTATTGGGAAACAGCTTTTAATGAGTACTGTATTCAGCCTTCCGTTTTTCTTCCTTATATCAAATTCATGTGAAACCGGTTATGACTTTTTGGTCTCTTCTGTACTGTTTTTTTAAAATTATAATTTCGTGCTTATATTGACCAGTCATAAATCCATGCTCATCTTAAGAACTACCCTGAATGTTTGTTACTTAATGAACTCGGAAAGTTCTTGCTTAACCGTCATAAGGAAAAGTATTGTTTTTTCATACGCTAAAGTTTAATGACTCAGTATCATTCGTGATGTTTCTTGGTTGCTCCTTCCATTCACTTAGTTGGTGAGCCCAATTCGTCTTGCTAGAGACACTTCATTAAAAATGACGCAACTACGGGGGCGCAATAGCCGTTTTAGTTTTTCTTTGCCTTACCTCTTGTCCAGTTATTGTCGACCATTTGTGTATTACGTAACAATAATTTATTATACCTTTTTATTACTTGAATAAAAGTATTGACGTACATTTTTAAGTAATCAAGGTAACATTGACAACATGGCAAATGTTAATAAAGTACAAAAACCGTCCCATGGCAGATTTTATTGGAAAAGACATACTACGTAAATCCTATCAGTATCATAACCCACATCACAGTGCCCACTTAAAATTCAATACATCTGAACGCATGTAGAAATCTTGCACTAGATGCAAAATAATTATACTACTGAACTTTTAAGTTACTCCATTTTTGTCCAATTTCATCATAGACCTACGGCTGGAAACAACGTTCTCGTCGATTGAATTTTCAGGAATTGATCTTCCAGGAGGTCCACTTATCAATTTAGAATACACAGATGACATAATCCTGTTTGGTGAAGACGCTGATAAAATACAAAGACTTTTGGTAACACTGAGCAACAATACCAAGATGTTTGAGATGCGTTTCTTTCCATTTAAATGCAAGTTGTTGCTTCAGGACCGGCCTTCGTCAACACCTGAACTAAGAATATAGAGTGAAGTAGTCGAACGCGTCTGTAAATTTACTTATCTTAGAAGTCTGATCAGTCCTAATAGGTTGATGTCTGACTAAATCTATGCACGGATCCAAAAAGCTCGTTTGGCTTTTATCAACTTTCGTCACCTATGGCGAAGGGGGGATATCCGTCTATCAATTAAGGGACGAGTATACTGCGCAGCAGTTCGTTTTTTCTGCTTTACGATTGCGAAACGTGGCCATTCAGAGTAGAAGAAACTTGTAAGTTACTAGTATTTGACCACAGATACCTTAGAAATATTGTTCGCATCTGCCGGGAAAGTAATAGTGAGGTTAAATGCATGTTATTAGGGATTGATGGTTAATCAGTAGATGAGGTCATGAATCTTCATCGACTGAGGTGGTTGGGCCACGTGTTACGTATACCTGAACACTGATTGCCACGACGCGCAATGCTGACTAGTGTTGGAGACGGTTAGAAGAGTTAGGGGCGGCCAAACCAAAACATGGCATCAGAGTTTGAAGTCACTAACTTCTAGTCTGAGTCATGTTAGTAAATTCAGACTACTTCGTTGGGATCCGCGTGACTATCGTAATCAATGGTTGGAGACTCCGAGTGACATGGCGCAGGTGTATATAAGTTTGTGTTCCCTAAAAACATGAGATTGAAATTGCTTTATACCTGACTTTAAATCACTCCATGTATTTTTATTTTATTTCTTTGTGGAGGATTTTACTCGCTTGTTGACTGCTTATTGATGCAGAACATTCTGACATTAATGTTTTATTATATAATTTGTAGTTTGTTTTGTGTCATATTTTTACTACCTCTCATCAGTTTGTTTTAAACAAATTATATATATATATTAAAAATTATTGTATTTTTGTCTTCTTAAAGTTCTTACAAGGCGAAAAGTCGGAGTCCTTAACACCATTTACGCTTATTCTTCGAGCGTTAATCCGCTTCGAAGACCTCTATGCTAATAGTCGAAGAAACTGTTTGACCGAAATCATTAATATTTGTCGTTCGTGTGATCATAAAAAAAGACTAGACTATAGATCAACTCGTTTAAAATTTTATGTTGGATTGAGTTCATACGTCAACAGTATCGATATGTTTTGTTGGTCTCCTGGTTCACGAGATATTGCCTTTGAATATGTTCTAGCTTGGAGTAATCTACTCATAAATGAAACTGGTTCACAAGATGTCGGCCGTAGTAATCTTGCTCCAGAATCATTTGGTGTGATTGAGAATTGGGCCGAATATTTATCAACGGGAAAATTAAGTTCAAAATCTTCTAGATTTATTCAAGTAGAACCAGAACATCCTAGCTTCTTTCATGAGGTATTTTTTAATAATTACATTGTCTCGAATTATTAGTGTGACTTTTATTTTTTTCTATCATTTTTCGTAGTTAATAGTGTTTATTTTTGTGATTAATTATTTATTTATTTGAACACATAAAAATTGGTAGAAAAGGGTACCAAATATATAACTGTCTGATCGATATTGCTGGGACAGCAGATCAGTTGATCTGTCCCTCATCCAAGATGTCGGTAGATGTTAGTGATTGGCATCCCGTCATCTTCACAGATTGTTTCGCCCACATCAGGCTTTTTGTTGCCAGTGTCATGGGTGAGTTGAAAGAGCTCCCGGCAGTTACCAGATGCAGCTTCTGCTTTCAACTTATTGGCACGCTCTGACCACCAGGCTTCTCGGTCCTTACGCAAAATTTGCCTAATTTCATTACGTAACAGTCGTCGTTTGTGGTCAAACTCACGGCCACTCGGAGTAGACTGACGGGCTTCAATGAGTTGTAAGGAGTCTTTAGAAACCCAATGCTTATAGGAGGGACGTTTAGCAGGCGACTCGCCATTTTCATGGCCTCATGCAATTTTAACCAACGCTCATCTATATTTTTCGGTGGTATGGAAGCTAACCTTGAACCTAGTTCGGTTTCATATTTAGTTGCTACAGAAGCTACAACCAATTTACTGAAATCAATTCGTTTAGAACGACGAATTTGTTGACTACTGAAAAGTAAGGTGTGATTAGCGCAAACATGGGCATTATCAGAGTCTTGATAAGTACTCAGAAAGGAGCGGGAATCTTTTACACAACTACGCCAGTGGTAACTGATCGCGATGTGATCAACTGGAGTCTAGGTTTGAGATGCAGAGGACGCCAGGCGGCACACCGGCGATTACTGTGCCAGTAGTTAGTGCTAGCCAGAAACGGGTTGTGGTTTGCGTACAGTTGCAGTAGATGGTCTCCGTGATCTGATCTACGACCAACAAGTCCCCATCGGCCACCTAAATGACTCTCTTCTGTGCCTAAACGCTCAACCTGAACATTCAAGGCTCCAGCTTGTGCTACAATATCCGTCGAACGCACTTTCTTTATAAGAACTGTTAACTGGTAGTAAAATTCATCCTTGATCGCATACGGGCTGGAATCTGTCGGAGCATAGGCGGAGATGTCGAAAAAACCGTTTCTCACACCGATTTCTTCCTACTTTGATGGGACTTTTTAATGTAACAGTGCCCCCAAATGCCCTGGTACGGCCGAGAGTGGGGAGAGTCCGCTCTCCCCCTCGAAATGCTCTCACATGGCCACGCGTATATAGCCTCTGCCAGGAAAGTCCTACGCACTACCTTCTCTTGGCGGGGGTGTTGTTTACGAAATTGAGAGGACGAAGAGCGAATGTCCGGCGCTTTAACCGGGTTGAACACTGCGAGTCCACCTAGGGGAGTTGGAAAACCCTGATTCCAAATGGATGGTGCAAATGGGCTCCAGTATCCTGAAGGAACAAATGGCGTATGAATCAATCGTTGGTCACTGGCTACCATGGGACTGCATCTCCTTACGCTGCAGATATTATACGCAAGTGTTGCCTTCAACTTTTTAAGCGTTCCATACAGTGTTTATTTTTCCATGCTGGCCACATATTAATGCTTATGAAATGTAACCTAAAAACTTCTAAATTATATTTGCAAGTTTAGTTAAACCCGATTTCGAATATGTAGACTAACAAATAAAAGCCAAAAACTTGACAAAATGTGCTGCTGCTTTACTGTGTTATGTATATGCAATGTTTGTCATCAAGTTTCTTATTGTATACACAACGCGCTTGACAGCATTTGTATATCAGATTTAAATGATTGTCACTTTTTATATAAAACTGTTTAAATGTTGATTATTTTACCACCGAGTAAATACGTAGTTTTCTCTTGTTTTTTTCTATTAGCTCGATTCATCTAATGTTTCTGAAAATCCTATACATCTTGCTACAAAAGAGATCGTTATAGCTAAAAATCCTGAAGCAAAAACTATTAATTCTCATATTAATTCTAGGCATAGATCGGTAACTTTAATTATCGATACTGGTGAATCGTGTACTGTAGAAGAAAAATTGATGAATACAAATCCTGAGTTGTACAAATTGAGCAAAGTGTGGGAATCTGTTGTTGCTAAACAACTAGAAAATGTAAACAATACAATTGTATACAAAATTGGCGAACCACTTGATTCATTGATCACATCAATTACCAAGTATTGGGGACATAATCGATGTACAATATGTTCAGAAAGTAATTAATATGAAAGTTAATTCAGTTTCCCTTTTTATTATCTATTCAATGTCTAATATTTTTTTAAGCCTTCCCCAACCAAAGTTAACTTAAACAATACCAGTGATTATCTGACTGATGTTAAGTATTTTCTTTACTAAGATTAATGCATAGTTTTGTATTTTGCTATTTTATTTATCAAGGGGAGTTACATTTCTCAGGAAATAAATTTTGTTTTTACAAATATATACATTCTGAATTTTCTTTTATATATATGCACTTCAAATTGAAGAATATTTGAGCGAACATTTGTTTTCATCATCAGGCTCTACAGTTCAAAGTCCATCATTGTGATATTTTACAAAGGTCAAAATAAGACATACACTAATGAACTTGACAATGTCATATGTTAAAAGTGGTGAACTTTTGCATCAGCTACGACGTAAACACTTTAAAATAGTGCTACTTGTAAATTAGAAGGGTCATTTAATAAAGGTCAAAAGTGATTTGGAGTAAAGTGTCTAGTCACAATCAGTATAATAGTAATATAGCAAAAATGAAAAAAAATTTGGTGTGAATAAAATGCGTAGTAGTACATGGTCACGAAACAGATATTTTCATAGTTGAAAACATGAGTCAAACAGATATACAAAAGTACACATTACTAAATAATGGCTACCCAGATAATTTCGTCAGAAAATTCCTGGCAGAAGGTATTGAAAAAAGAAATTGTGACTTATTCAATAAAAAACCCTGTATCAGGAACTGGACGTTAAAGGGAACATGGCGGGTGATATTTTAACACGACTCAAAAGATCTGTTGGGAGGACGTTTCACGCTAAGCTACATATATTTTTTTCAACTAGACCAGTACTTACACAACAAACCAAGGATTGGTTACCGATTATAGACTCCTCCATGTGTGTATACCAATTCAACTGCTCTTGTGAGGCTAGTTATATAAGCTGTACTCGGAGGGCTTTATACTTGCATGTTCGTGAACATGTACCAGCATGGTTGGAAAAAGGAGTTACTAAATCGATCAACAGCACTACTCTTCCTTACTTAGTGGATAAACAACATACCGAAATAGAGGAAGCCTTTTCTGTTCTATATTAAGTTCCAAAAAATATACCTCAAGGAGCTAAATTATGGCTACTCTACATAGCCGAAACCGTCAACCAACTTCAGAATAGACATATCCGACATCTATGTTTACCTTGGCCTGCAACTGGACCACCAATACTGAATATTATAAACCTCTTACTCCCTGTTTTCTTGATTACATCTATCTTAATCTTCACATCTATCATTCCCAATTCACATGAATTCTTTTTTGTCATAATTACTTTGATAACACCCCTTTTATTACGTATTCACGCAACAATATTATTATCTCAATTGACAAGATGAGATTCTACTACTATGTTATTTATCCACACAATTTTGTTCATTTTTGCTATATTTCTACTATACTGATTGTGACTAGACACTTTACTCTAAATCACTTCTGACCTTTCTAATTTACAAGTAACACTATTTCGTAGCTGATGCAAAAGTTCACCGTTTTTAACATATAACATTGTCAAGTTCATGAATGTATGTCTTATTTTGACCTTTGTAAAATATCATACAAAGTAGAGCCTGATGATGAAAACAAATGTTCACTCAAATATTCTTCATTTTTGAATATTCTATGGGGATTTCTAAACTTCTGATGTATATATATATATATATAATGAAGGAAATAGTGAATGCTTGAGATTTATTAATGATTGACTGAAATATATCGGACGTAAGAATCTATATCTTCCAGTAGGCTTTATTGGACATCTATGTTATCGAAATCAAGTGTTTGATATTGTTAGTGTGAAACCTTTAAAACACTTCATTCGTGGGAATCACACTTGTATTTAATGTTTTCATGAACTAAGATGTAATACGACGGGTTTTCTAAGTAATTACAAAACCGCAATTTTTTTACGAAAAAATTATTTCAGACATGTTCTATCATCGTATCTTGTTATTAAAAGCTGCTGACCCTATAATTAGTTAAAGCACATGAACTCGTATAAGATGATGCTCCTGGTTGAAGCGATGGTTTTATTGACGCCTGTTAGCCCATTTCTAGATGTGACTAGAAATTGAGCAAATTAGTAATCTGGATTTTTACGAGACTGGAATAAAAATAATCTGGGTTTTGGATCATTTTATTCATTAAGTTGTTCTGTCAAATTATGTACATCAAATAAGATTTGTGAGGCGCATATTTATCTGGTGCTTTCTTGTACCAATATTTATGCGTTTAAATAAATAAATAATGTACATAATGTGGAGCTAGTGGAGTTCTTTTTGGTAGTACTATATCTGACTCCAGTTTGATTGGACAAATGATTGCTGTCAAAGTATACATCCCAGCTGCCGTCGTATATAATAATCGACTTAACTCGCGAATAACAAAATTTAGTAATTTAAATACGACTCGATTCTGAGTGCGTGTATTTCATACCATTGTTGATTCAGACAAACGATGGGAGGAACGAAGAGAGTGAAGCAAAATGACGCGCAGTGGAGAAGGTATGTAAGCCAACTTGGTGTAACCAAGCGTGAATCGATTTTTATAGTCAGACAAAATTAAGTTACAGACATGTGATGAATAAAACAAGAAATACACACACATGCACATACTTAAAAATAGTCAAGGTTGATAAGCAAATAAGTGACAGAGTAAAAATGTGGGTTAGATTAAACAATATATTGAGGCTAGAATGGGGTTGACCGTAGTACCAGACTTTTAGTGTAACTTACACTCGATAGGACTAGTGTAGAAATGTTACTAACAAACATATCAAGTAGATAAGAACAGTGTATATATTATTTATTTATTTAAGGAATATACAACGAAATTTTACCATATATAATATACAAAAGTTATTTGACACATGTTGAATGAAATATTATGTTTATTAGTACGGTACAACTCGACGAGCATTTACTTTATAGTTATAACGTCCATCACTCGACTTATCAATTCTTGACTCTTTACCAGATTCAGACTTCTCTGTTTTATCCTGAGAAGTTAAATTAACATTGTTTACATGTCGACGATATTTAGAAGACTCCAAATCAGGATTATTACTATTAGGAGGATGTTCATGATATTTTTCATGTGAACGACGATTACGAGTGATGGGATTATTTTGTTTTGATAAACGACGACCAGAGTCTAGTATTAATGAATCGTTTTTAATAAATGGAGCATTTGTATCAGTTAAGGGTGGTGTGATAGCAACATCAATCATATCTCCAATTGTAAATTGTACATCCTATTGGTTGGAAATATTAAAGAAAGCAAATATTCCAATTTTAGTAGAGAAAACGGATAAGATAAAAACACTACATTTGAATTTATTTACCTAGTAGAAGGAATATGTATTTGCAACTTTTCATGTTAAAGCAAACGAAAATACGCGGAGAGGTATTAGAAGCAATATAGTTGAATAATCGGAAGTTAAATTCCTCAACAATTAAGTCATCACTTGGCGTCTAAACAGATCGACTTTCAATGACAGCTGTGGATTATGTTCTCACTACGACTACTTGGATTTAAGTAAGGGGATAGTGTCAGTAGACCCCTTAAGTCATAGGTCCCCACGAAATCCATAATCCCTTTGGAAGTACTTGAAATTAAGTATTAACTTTCTATCTTTAATGGTCTTCTCGGTGTACTGTAGTAGGCATAGGAATACGGCCAACATATCTTGATCTAACTTACTATTTCTGCTAACCGCTATAATTGGGATGAGGCATAAAGAACTAAAGTCAGAATTTTTTCAGTCCTTTAACGAACCTACGTCTAAGTTATAGATAAAAGACTAATGAAAACGTTTAATCGGATACGTCTATCAAGTTAACTATTCGTAGAATAGATCCAGTTGTTAGAGAGGTCTCTTTATATGATAATAAAAGGAACTATGTACATAAAGTCTAATTGTTTCATAACTCTGAGCACCATCCAAGTATCTTAATTAAAACTAAGGTTTGGTATATTGATGCGAACACTTTTTCAACTTCTATTCCATTGAAAAATAGAACTATAAAATCTAGTCAAATACTACTACTTTTTCAAAAGTACAAAGACTAGTCAGATGCAACTGAGTTGACTTCGAGAATTACATGATCAGAGGGTTACAGAAAAGCATAATTCCCTTATCAAACGCCAGAATGAAGAAATTACAAATGGAAATCAGTTTTACGATCTAGAGGCTAACTACAGTATGAATGAATAATAATTAAAACAATACTTTACAGCAGGAAGGTTTAGCTTCAAAAGTGAGAAAATCTACAAGATTGCTAAAATGTGCTCAAGTTATACCACCAGAAATAGGGGGCTGAGTTATCAGTTACAAAGTCTGAGAAATAAGATGTGCATTTATATAGTGTGGATCTGAAGAAAATATTAACTCTATGGCTTTGATTTCTTTAGTCTTGGATATATTTATACTGCCAATAGCCAATTGTACTTTCTCGATAACGAGAAAACTCTAGACAACTTGACCTATTTATTATTTTACCATAAAAATCGACCAACCCATACTTTTAACATGATGCGGTCTGTATCGGAAGGAGAACCAGAACAAACTGTACCCAATTCACGCATTCTGTACACTGGTGATCGGTGATCCGGAAAAACCAAGGCGAAATCAAACAACGTTCCTCTTCTACGGGATTCTGGGTTAACTTGTTTAACAAGAGATGCAAGTTCTCTTAGAGTAGCATCAAACCTTTAAAGTAGGACAGACGTAAGAGAACTGAAATTAGATATATCAAATTAAAACTGCGCAAAGGCGCACGGTTCCCAGTTATCTATTTATGTGACATCTGAATGTCACCCGTGATTTACCTGTAAAGGTCGCTAAATGTTGCAAGAGGTCATGGAGCAGGAATCGCAGTCGGCGTGGTATACGAAAGAAACGACTAAATGACTACTATTTGATTGGCGATTTTGCAAGATACATATAGTTAGTTGACAAAACTAGTAATCTTACCAGGTCAATGATATTTTGTAACAAAATATCAGGATACACAGCTAGCTAGAGTAGTTTATCACCTCACAGTACGCCTATCATGACGACATAAGCTGTATAGACCGGTAAAATAAATATGGGTCTCATATATATTTCTGTATCAAGATCTAGTTAGTATGTGACCTATTACAATTGTTCTAAATTGAAGGATGAATGAAACGGTCAACCAGGTCAATCAATATTTTACCGTGTGACTTAAAAGTCATATTAAGTGGAAAGATTCAAGTATCCCATGCTGGTCGATGGTTAAGTGTTACAATCAGTTAGGAAATTTTCAACCCGAAGGAAAATCTGTACCATCACTCCATCCAAACTGCTGAAGCAGGAAGTTTAAAATGAGCAATCAGAAACATTAGGAATGGAGCTTTGGCATTATAACTGATGTCACTCCGTGATGAAAGCCCTAGATCTAATTCCTAACCTTAACCATCAATTGTAAATCATAATTATAGTTCCTCACACTGGTTTGTAGCACTCATTAGGTCCTAGATATTATTAAACACTCAAGGACGTTTTAAAATCGTCCATAAATTATATTCTTGTCTATATCAAGTAAAGAGAGTTGAGTAACGGTCTTTAAATTTCGTCATAGTACACAAGTGGTAATAACCAAATGGTTTACGTCAGTTGAAACAATAAAATAATGCGAAAATTTACTAATGAATAACGACGATTATTGCCAATGCTGTTGCATTTAAAAACACTTACCATGTATATACTTGGAGTTCATTTATTGGGGTACGACCCCTAGAATACTCCAAAACGTTATTATGTTTCTTTGTACTGCAGAACATTCTTAGTAACAGTGGACATGTCTTTTCGCGATTTACACTGCTATCATCTGACACTGTCATTCTAGTAGGTCAGAAACAACCTTTCCAATATTAACGTGAAGAGCTAGTATATACCAGTTGGTTTATTGACGATTGTTCGATTATGTTGGGCAGTGACTTCAGATTTTTGGAGTTGTTTCCTGTGGTGTGCAACTCCCAGACAACAGGGATAATTTTTGATAAATTATCAGAATAAGGAAAAATATGGAAAAGTTAGCGTTCAGTTTGAAGGTACGTTGCGTGGAGAGATGGGTGTGAGGAAATCTGGATGAGAAAGAATCAAGAAAAAAATTAGACTGATAATTTATTGAGGATATGGAATGCACTCACAATAATTAATGAAGGCGACTGATAGCAAGTACCAATAAGACAAGCCTAAGATCAACACAATCAAATTGCCGCAAGCGACAGTACAGTACACTGTAGTTTGTCCAGCCGCTCTGGTTCAGCAATTCAATAACCAATACTTTCAATGGCAACAGAAAAGAAAATTTCACATTTTCCTAGATAATATGTTATTTATTTTATATTTTCGTATTAAACACGCTCTCAATTCTAATGTTTTGCTGATTAACATAGCTAATCACATTTCTCATGTATTATTCTTAATTCACGGAAGCTTGAAGATGTTTATTTTCTTAGTGATTTTATCTGCTATACTGTCGAATGCTCCACTGAAAGTTTATTACTACTGCTTTTTTACTGAACTACTTACTTCTTCTGATGTTTAACCGTACCAGGATAAAAACCAATGCCGGGTATTTATTTTCTCTTGATTCTAATGATTCCACAGAAATTCAGGGTTTGAAAGCAATTTTTCTGTAAAAAATTTATGATCGAAGGATATGTGTTGTTTATATGAACTCATGAATCCTTTGTTCTTGATTTCAAATTCCATAAACATTACGTTCGTTTGGGCTTACCTACTTCTCTTTGGTCTAAATTGCACTCTTTTGGAAATTCCAAGTTCATACTAAAACTCGAATATTTCTAATCATAACAGGATACTAACCTAGTCAAATCAGAAGTTATGGATGAATGCATTCAAAGATATATTTAGAAGCTTGTCCACATATTGAGAAGTGTTTGGTCAAAGCTGGCTAGTGGTTGCCAGGGTTTTGTAGCCTTGAGTACCTAATCGTAATTTGGTGCGGATGTATGTTCAAGCTCCTCTAACTAGGTGCATCAAGTTCAACTAATGAGATTGTGGAGACGGGCTTAATAAACCTATTTTGTAAATAGTTTTTGATATCTTTAGCATTTGTTTTGTCAATTTTCACAATCTGTACATTTATCGCTAAACAATTGTACTACAATATATATATATACTACAAATATATATTATTCCTATATAATTGTACTTGTTGTTTGAGTGCATGACTTTGAACAATTACTTCCGTTTTCGAATCCCAAATAGCACGGCACTGTTAACCGCTCATAGATAAATACACTCTTGTACACACGTCTCTCGTTCTACAAAGCTTGTGGATATGATAACTCAACTATTAATTAACTGTCATATTTATAGACTTTCGTAACATTCCCACTGTATTATACGTTTGGCTATCTTACTGGAGCCATATCTGGAGGGATATAAGTTCGAAACTTCTAAAAGCCCCCAACTCCGCATATATCTATTCTCAACCATCAGTTGTATGTTGCAACGCTACCTCCATGAAGTGCGCCAAGTGTCATATTGATATTAACATGTTTCTTATGAAATATCAACCCAGCTGAGTAATTTTCAACAGTGAAAATTGTAACTTCATTAACGATTTGATCTTGCCTGTAAACCGGCATGCCTCATGTAACAATCTGTTATTTGAGAATAAATTATTATTATTATATCAACCTCACTGGAATTCCTAATTATCTATAATTGTGGATCGTGGTACAAAACGCAACAGATTACGCACCAGTTAGTTGATTTAGGCAACGTTCCTTAGCTTTTATTTTTGTTCATAACTGATAAGTTGTATATCATTATATTGATTTTTGGCATACATTGTACAATCGACACGAAGACAGTATTAACTATGAAAAGCGGGAACTTTAGTTCAGTCCATGAGATGGCATGGCTCAGCCATGCGAACGTGGTCATTCTTGTGTTACATATCCCTATTTTTATTAAATATGTTGTTCCATCTCCAGCCTAAATGTGTTCTCCAGAGGTGGGATAAGTCAGTGTAGACAATGATGTGACTTCCGCATGAGATCTTATGGGTTAGGTAGTCACATAATAACAAATCCACAATTTCAGGATTACGTGTATTATTAGAGCAGTATTAATACGAAGTAGACCGTAGTCCTACACGGTCACATAATCCCGTATTATTTTTTCAAATATAAAACCGTCTTCCCGGCCAAAAAATTTGTTCTTCAGAAGTGCTAGACGTCATACTGCTGTTCATCATGTAGGGTAAGTCTGTATAGACAGTGGCGTGAATTCCACGTAAACTCTTATAGACTAGGCAGTCACATCATGATATATCTACGATTTTGGAATTATGTTTATCATCATAGTAGTACTAATACTGAAGTATTCCATAATTCTACATAAGCACACACATAAGTACACTGATACGATAATGTATAAAAAGCATAAGTCAACCAAACAATTGTGGGACAAAAAACACTAGATAAATGCAAATGCTATGCGAGGTCCTACAGACAGTGGTTGTTTAAGTGTTATGAGAACCTCATCCTTCTTCTAGAGAGCGTCATTTCAGGCCGGTTTTCGGATACCAGCGAGGTTTCTTCTTGTTTATTGATAATCACGGATGACGTCGTAATTATGAGGCTCGTAACGTTCAGCCGATCAGGAGAGAAATAGACAGAACAAAGGTTTCCTTCTAAATAGGTAGCTTTGAGATTGTTGGTACTGATTTTATTGTTAGTTACGTTCTAATTGATTGTATAGTACTCTAGTTTGCTATGAAGGACTTTGAAGGGTCTTTTATACACAGTTTTTCAAGGGGTCGTCGCATTGAATCGTGACGGACACAAACATGCGTACTAAATTATGAGGCGGGTTTAACGAAGGCACCAGTTGACTAAGGTTGAATGGAAACAGGTCCAACCGACGTCATAGTGTTTGTAAGCCTTATTGTTTTAGAGTTTAGATCTACATTCATCCAAGAAGTTGGGAATCTTTGAACTATCAAGAAAGTGGTGGTGTTATTCGGCAAACGAGTCGTGTTGACCTGTATCCAACGTCATATTTTACGGCATTGCGAATACCGAGTAAAACAAGTGGAAGAGCGTCAGTCTATTGTGAGTTTTGTAGCTGAGAGTAGAGCTTTCAAATGTCGATGGAATCGTTCTACCAACTCCCTAGCTTGTAAGTCCGAGCAAAACAAGAGGTAAAATTTTTAATTTTTAATGTTTTGTGAGTAATTTCACTAATCTTTGCACTTTCTATCTACGTAGTTACTATATTTTGTGATTAGTCCAGGATGGCTACATCCTTACTATAATCCTCATACGTTGCTATCACACAGAGGCAAGATAAATTCTAGTTTCTAACCTAACGGTTTCCGATTTTCGGTCTATTTGTAGCCTAGTTTTTGTTAACTTACAGTCACGACAAGACTATATTATATTCGTCAGCGTGTTAGCAGTACTGAAGATGATGATTATGCTAATATCAACTGTCTGAACTCAATAAACATATTTATTCGTTGTAATGTTTGTTCGTCATTACTTGCGTGATGATTACTCAGTGTGGCATTTGTACTGTTTTTCAATGTGATATTTTATCCTGTATAACACCAATTTATTTTAGTGTGATATTTGTTTAAGACAAGACATACTCGCATTAAATTAACATGAACTACGCTCAGTATTACAATAACTATACGGTTTTGTTATAACTCAGGGCATTTTTCATCGATATGACATTATTCTTATTATTAACCAAAATGGTTGCACAGCCAATGTACAAATTAGCGCATTTTCGGCTAGGGTCGTTTTGGTGTTCTTACTTCACGTGGTGGGAAACGCAATGGTTCCCTGTCATATATATATATAAGTAATAAGCGATTTTTACATGGCAATAAGCGAAGATCAAAGCTAATAATTGGCGACGCAGTCGTAACGGCTGACGACTAGTCATAACACGTTCATCTATTGTGTAGGATTATTTCGATGACCTAGATTTCATACAGTAAATTGGAAGTCAGTCGCTCCTACAGACGTTTCCACGCAACTAAATACTCCGTTGTTTTGTGAGTTTTACCCAATAACCTAGCGGTTGAGTTTTTCGGTTTGTCTTATGAACACTGTAATTTTAGTGTTTAAAAATTGAAACACATAATCATCCAGTACACTGATACGTTGAACCAGGATTTGCGTCAGCGACTGTAAAATATAGCCTTCTCGCGAACAAGTAGTGGTAAGCAGAGTTGAATTTGACCAAACTTTCATGGTTGCCGATAGGTTCACTAATGTATAATCGTTTACACAGTGTACTAAATGTCTTCCGAAGGTTAGTTACATAAAGTTTAAAGTACGATAGCAATAATAAAATGCCTTAACATGTCTAGATGATCCAGCACGAATGGACAAATTTCAATAGTCCCAAAGCTCCAGCCTTGTTGACAGATGTATTTGGACGACACTTCGCATCAAATGTTTTTATTCAAAAAGGACAATAGTATCTTTCCTCACTGCTGTTTTCGCGTCAATTTGATTTATTTCAGTCAAAGTAATTTCCAAAAGTTTTTCTTTTTTATATAAATTTATCATCTCTACTTTTAGAGTACAGATTAAAAAATTAACTGGAACTTTTTTCCTCGTTGAGTATATCTAGGTATTGTTTGTATCCAGAGGTGGCAAGATCTTTTCGTGTCTACTGAAGTCGGATTTTATTATTGTAAGGTACAGTAAAATACAAACCTCTGAGTTTTTGTGTCCAGTGTCTATCACTTATCGAGCTTTAAAAACACTTATTTTAGAAAACAACTTTCATCGTTCTCCTTCCTGAGAGATCAAGAAACAATTCTTTGGCGCAAGTAAAACATCGTTGTGGTAGACCTTAATGCTATTCTCCTGTCGATCGTGGAATGAAACAACTGGTATCACAATATGTGAGACGGTCTTTCACCGGTTGCATATAAAGAATGTTGTAAGCCACTATCACGTGGGCTGTTCAAAGCATGCTGTTTCAACAAAGTCTGTGCTGACACTTAAAGAGATTGAGCTGCTTAAAATAGCTAAAATATCGCCCTCACATTAACAGGCGGCAGTAGATTAGCAGAATCGAGATTTTGAGGAAATAGCGGGCGTTATCATGAGCTCAACTTTGGGTTTGAACGAGATCATCAAGGTGGACCTCATTAAGGAAGCGGATAACAAGCATAATGATGTGTGCATTGTTACAAGAAAAAACACTCCGGGAGGAAACTAATTATAGGCAGAACTAAAACATGTGAATCTA